TCTTGAGCTTCCTTAATGGTTAGTTTTATTCTGTCTCCTCTAGCCACTGTGCTTGACTGTTCATGGCTTATCAATCTTCTCCAATAAAATTGATTTGCAAATCAAAAATAGATATTAAGAGGCGAGATTGATTGTTGTTCTAAGCGAATTTGTGTTGTTGGAGGTGATTATTTTCCACAATTCTCATCTATATAGTTCTATGAAAGCCAGATGGATGAAAGAGAGGAGGTGGAGAGAAACAAAGGGAGATAAAGAGGATGAAGTCATCAATATGGGCCCTACCATTAAAAATAGACAAACGTTACTCATTTGGATGGAAAGGTAATGGGTGCTCTATTTTGAGTAGTTCATAGTTTATTTTGCACCAATCCATAGTATTGCCTATCAAACGCTCCTTAAAAACTAATTCAAGGCCAAATTTGCATGTTTACACTATAAAAGAAACAACCTAGTTGGAGAAAAATGAGAAGAGAGTACTTTGTGGCTTTGTTTTATAATGGTGCAATCACCTACAAAAATTATAAGGTTAAGGTCTATGTTTATCATAGAACTATTTTTGCAAGTAGAATATTAAATGTCCTAAACTTTTTGTCATAGTAATTTTGCACTTGAAGTAGTTAAATTATAGCAATGTTACCCTGATATTAAATAGGTAAATATTGACTATTAACTTTACTAACCCAGACTTAACATCAGAGGTAAAATTGTTGCAATTTAATTACTTTTATGACAAAATTGCTACAATTTAATTACTTAAAGGATATTATTATTTGAGTCAAACTTATTTCTGAGTCAAAAATGGACTTTAAGGGCATTGAATACATTGACAGAATTTCAAACACTGAGTACTCTTATGAAAATACTCCTTGTGAATCACAATATAAGACATTGATAACTAATTTATGATTATCAAAATATATTAGTTGAATCCTAAATTTCTTAAAAAAATTACATCTTTTCAATTATACTTTCATTAAATATTCTATAAAAGTGCCTTGATAATTACAATTAAAATTCTATTGCATCATTTTTTTTTCAAAAAGAATAATAAATGAAGTAGGAGTATAGTTAGAAAATCAATCATAAAAATTATTTAATGCCTTATATTTTAGATTAAGTAAGGTTTTAAAAATTGTTCTATATTGTGATATGTAGAGAGTAGTTTAGAATCCAAAATAAAACTAGGATGTCCTTTTCATCTTTTTTCACCACATGCACACACGCACGCATGGAGAGAGAGAGAGAGAGAGAGTCTAATACTCTCTCCATTTTTATTTATAATTAGACACTTTCTAAAAGTAATTATATCCCTTCTTAATTAACATGAAGATATTTAATATAGTTGCATTATTATTTAAAACTAAAGATAAAATGAAAATATATCTCTTCTTTTATTATATTAAAAAATAAATTTTTTTAATATGCATGAAACAGTTAAAAGTGTCCTATAATAAAAATCGAAAGAAGTATTTCATAATTTCAAATGTGTTTTTGGTTGGGGAGTTTTGGAGGGGACCCCAAACTCTTCCTTCATTTGGTTAAAAAATTTTGGAAGGAATGGGAGCCAAAATGACCCTCCGTTCTCCTCTCCTCATATTGCTAATTTTTTTTGACTATTTTGCCCTTATTTATTTTTTTAGTATTCTAAATGAACCCATAGCTAAAAAAAAATTCTCTTTCATATTAGATTGCGCTTCACTCCTAGACCTTGACTAACCTCATTGGATTTTTTTTTAAAAAAAATTACAATTCATCATATTTTATTGTATATTTAAGAGAGTTATTTATTTTCTATAAATAATTATTACATTATAATTATTGGTTTAATTTTTTAATTCACATATTGACAATATGATAGGGTGAGAGTGAATTTTGAAAAAAAAAAATCATCCAATTTAAATTGAAATATAAAATTATTTTCTATAAGGAACAATTAAATTTTTTTTAAACTAATGTATAGGGATATAATAGTAAATTAATTATTACCTCCCCTCCTAAACCAAATAAATGATGATTAAAAATTCCTTCCCTTCAACCAAACCAAACAAAGTACAAGGGATCTAGCTATCTGGTTCTAGCAATTATGTATTTTTCACCTTCCCCACTCTACCTAATTAAATTGACACATAAACTGTCTAATATTCCAGAACAAAAACACCTTCCCCACTTTAACTGGCCAGCACGCACGCTCTCTCTCTCTCTCTCTCTCTAATATTTCATAATTTTCTTTGGCCATCTGCAATTAATAGATGGTTGAGAATTATGACAAGAAAATGGGCGAAAGTAAATTAGCTCGCCCACGTAATGTACCTTCACCAATTATATGTGGAAAAATTATTAGATATTTGGGGAGTATAAAATAATTTATTGGGAAAATATAATTGTTAATCTCAATATTTTTAGCATATTTTGACATTAATCCTTATATATATGTATTTTGCTCCTAGCTTCTTAAGTTTTATCCATTTACAACATTAATCTTTATATTTTAAAATATGATTGTAGGAACTTATCAATGGCTAACGTGTATATAAATGTTGTTACTTCTTATACTGACCTATTAAAATTATGATAAGTTATATAAAATATGGGTAAAAGATAAAAAGAAACAAAGAAGGATATAAAATCAAAATCCTTAAATACACGATGGGCAAAAGCTTAAGAAAAAAGAAGACGAGAAAGCTAGGGTAGAAGGATGGAAAGGTTAGTAGCTGATTTGTTCATGCAATGTCTAATTTGTCATAATTTTACCAACTTAACAACATAATTGACAGAGTTAATATGTACACATCAACAAATTTAACTTCACTAATGACGATAAGGACTAACATTGTAAATACACAAAATTTAAGGGATGAGAAGTAATTTGAAAAAAATTATATGACTAATATTAAAATATGCTAAAAGTATAGGGGCCATTAATTATATTTTCCCTAATTTATTCTGTGACTAATAAAAAACGATCTAAATGAATAATTTTTTTAACACCAATATTGTCTATATATCTTCATTATAATGTTTTTATTCAACACTTATCTCCACAATTAGAGTTTTTTAGTTTGGACACTATTATAATTCATTGCTCTTATTCACAAAAATTCCGTTCGCTTAAGGTATTTTTTTCCAAAAAAAAAAAATCTTCTAATTATTTTTCATTCCAATCATTAGGGGCAGATAATGATAGAGTTTTTCAGGGGGAAGGAATCATCTAATATAAAATATAAAATTTATATTCCTCCGTTCAAAAATGTAAAGTATTTTTAATTAAATTTTACCTCTTAATAAAGTAGTTACCTACTTTTCAACTAACCCTATCTTTTCATATTGACTTCTATAAAACATTCTACAGTAAATATAAAGTCATTATTAATAGGGGTATTTTTGAAAAAAAGACAATGATTACATTTCGAAATACTAGAAATGTTTTATATTTTTTAACATCCAACTCTTCAAAAAATACCTTATATTTTTTAACAGAGGAAGTAACTAGCAATGAGTTTTTTTTTTTTTGGCCTGAAACTAGCAGAGAGTTCTAGCCCTCTACATTTCCCTAGCGAACCACACAGCGCGCATTTTCCAAAATTTATTATTATAAGTAATTGTTCATTACTCAATACATTAGATAATTACCTCATACAAGAACTACTTTATCTGTTCTCGTGGAGTAATAGATTGCTTGTATTGAGTTGTTTGAATTAGTTTGTTTCTTCATGTTGAATTTTTTTCGTGCGAAATTTCCCTTAATTTTGAGAAATTCATGCTGTTCATCTTGGTAGAAAAATGCAGAGGATTTATTCCGACTCTTCGTCAGTCATGATGAATATTGTTATGGATCTCATGTTGTATAAAAATTTTTTCACAACCATTAGGTTTGTGTAATCTTTTTATGAAAAAATGAAAAATAAATCTCATCGAAATAGACAAATGATAAATAAATATCACAAAATGGAGTAATTACTTTGAAGTCCGATCCCTAAAAACTAATTTAACATAATTGTTTTGCAAAATTATTTTTTAGACCCACATCAAAATAAGGAAAAAAAAAACCGCAATTGTTGAAATTAATTAAATTGAAGAAACTGTTAATAATGAAAGTAAAGTTGTTAATATAAGAGGGGTAAATTTATTAGTTTATTTATGCAATAATAAGTATTCTTCTTATATTAACAAGTTCAACTCACTCGTTAATGACTTCAATTTAGGTATTAACAACATAGTTGATAATAAATTTAAGGTTTAAAGGTTATTTTTGCCTTCAACATTACTCAAAGAGTCACTTGACACTCTAAATTTAGCTATGAGTCAATTTTATCTTTTGATATTAAATATTCACTCTGTCATTACTCTGCCATTGCTTCACCATTAATAGGCCCCCACATTTAAATTTTTTAAATATTGTTATTATAAAATATTGGGTTATGGGTCATTATTGCCCATTAACTTTACCTCGAAAGGTTAATGACCACCCTGAACTCAAATATTTTATAATAAAAAAATTTAAATAATTAAATGTGTGGCTAACTAATAGTGAACTAACAATGAGTTAATAGCAAGGTGGTGAGAGAGAATCTTTAATGTTAAAGTATAGAATTGACTCATAATTGAGTTTAAAATGCCCAATGACTTTTAGGGTAAAGTTGAGAGACAAATGAATCTTTAGCCTAAATTCAATTTAGTCATGCAATAATAATTATACTTCCTGTACTAACAATTTTAGTTTATATTTTAACAACTATGCTTTCTTTTATTCTGTAGAGAGTTAGAAATGTAATTTCACAAAAATTATGACATATAAGTATCTAGGAATTTCAGATTAATTATCTCATTTCATGATAGTATTTTGTCATGTGTCTATGTTGAAAGGATTTATTTTTCATTTTTCTTTTTTAATTTCTTCAATATCTTTTGGCCATACAACATGTATATGAATCTGTATATATAGACCTAACCGGCCAATTTAACTTTTCTTCCAACCTGTGTGTCCGTTGGGAATTTACAAAATGGGAGATCAAGATTACCATATCAAGCAATCCCATGATCTCCCACATGTCCTTATTCTTAACCATCCCATTCTCTTTGATAACCTCCAACCTTACTCTCACAAGTTCAATTTCATACACTTCAGTTCCTCTACAGTACCTCTTCACCAATTCCTCACGTCCCACAACCTCCACCCTTCTTCTATATGTGCCCTACTCTGTAGTGGACTAGAGCCCGTCACCGGAGTTGAGATTCTCCACCACCTCCCGTCGCTCGGCCTTTTGATCACTGCGACCTCCGGAACAGACCATATAGACTTTTTGGAGTGTCACCGCCGGGGAGTTAAGGTGGCGAATGCCGGAAGTGTGTTCTCGGAAGATGTAGCTGATTTGGCGGTGGGTTTGTTCATTGACGTAATGAGGAAAATTACAGCCACGGATCGCTATGTAAGAAGACGGGCTTGCCTTGCTACTTCATGGAATTTTCCTCTTGGTTCGAAGGTTATGTTATTGTTTATTCGTTTATAGTTGTTTTTCTTTTTGAATTTTGATTGGAAATTGTAAATTGCAGAGAAACATATATGTTAGCTGCACCAATTAGGATTTCTATTTGGACGAACGGAGTTAAACAAACTCAATTTTTGGTTTACAATAAATATAACAGATGGAAGAGAGGAGAGGAACTTGTAGGGGAGGATCTATATGCATGTGAGGGTGGGCAAATGCTCCCATCCATTTAGAAAAGATTGCATGTTAGTGTAAGAAAATTGTACTCTTTGTCCCCCACAAAATTTGAGATTTTGAACCCACTAAAATATCAATCTCCCTCACTTGGAAAAAAAAAATTTCAATGATGTACTAAAATTTAAATATATTTCTCTATTTTGAATAGAAAGTGCAAATATAATTAGCTAATCAATTTCATTTAATTTAATCTTAAAGTTAAATATATATTGTATTTAAAAAAATAAAATTTCAAAAATTTGTGTTTTTTGAAAAATTGCTACCACTAACCAAAGATTCTCAGTCTGCCACTCTGAGAAAGAGGATTTTCACTTTTGAAAAATGTGTAGAGAGAGTATCTAGTCTCATGCACACCACATGTTTTTTAACTCCCACGCATATGATGGTTCCCAACGTGCAAGACGATAATTGTTTCCTTACATGAATCGAAATTGAGAGGGGGAATATTATACTTAGGAACCTAGCTTTACTGCACATAAGAACTCAGGCTTTCTCAATATTATGATAAAGCGCCATTCTATAATGTGAGTTTGCTTTTTGGGCTTTCATTGAGGATGGGTAACCCCCTATGAATACATTAATTAATTCCCATATTTCAGATGTTGGGCCAAAAAAATTTCAACTTTTGAGATAAACTATTAAATAATCTACATGATTCATCAGGTGAGAGGCAAGCGAGTAGGTATCGTTGGATTAGGAAGCATTGGGTTGGAAGTTGCCAAAAGATTTGAAGCCTTTGGGTGCATCATATCATACAACTCAAGGACAAAGAAGTCAACAGTTCCTTACACTTTTTATTCCAACGTTGTTGAGCTCGCAAGTTCTTGCAATGCACTCATAGTTTGCTGTCCGTTAAACGAGCAAACAAGGCACATAATTAACAGAGAAGTGATGCTGGCATTGGGTAAAGAAGGAGTCATTGTGAATGTTGGAAGAGGGGCTCTGATAGACGAAAAGGAATTGGTCAAGTGTTTGATTAAAACGGAGATTGGAGGGGCTGGTTTGGATGTGTTTGAGGATGAACCAAGCGTCCCCAGAGAGCTTCTTGATTTGGATAATGTTGTTTTATCTCCGCATCTTGGTGGATTCACTTCAGAATCTTTCATGCGTGTTGCTGAAGTTGTGGGACAGAATTTAGAAGCCTTCTTCTCAGATAAGCCGTTAATTACTCCAGTGTTAATTGATTAATTACTAGAAGCAAGGAGAAACTTGTAAGAGGTATGCCTTATTCATGATGAGCTTTGTATTTCACGTGTCTCAATTAAATTAAATACGACGTGGAAACTTGATAAAGAGAGATGAGAAACGGATAAGGCCCCCAGTTAATGTCAGTAATATAGGACTCGTTTGATTTTTTTTTTTTTTTTTTGCTGTCTTTATGTTTTTAAAACAATTCTATAGAAAATTTTCTTATGAATGAATTTTGGGGAAAAAAAAAGTTAAGTGCAAATTTGCTTTAGACATTTCCAAAGAGATACAATTGATATCCTAGTCTTTTTAAAGGTATAATGTTGCCCCAAGGTTTTTCAAAATCAAACAATTTTGTCCTGAACTCAGGGATTAAATCGTTTGACTGTTAATTGACTTAATCATGTTTAGTTGGCCTGACACATGGCATCCACCTCAGTTTTTAAAATCAAAGAAAGAGAACAACCCGGGAAGGTAGATAGGAGAGCTAAATCGGCACAACAAAATCAACCAATCATGTTTCCATTTTCCATCAATCATCTTCCCAAAGTCCCAATTACATATCACACAATTCCGCTAGAGCAAACCAGGGAAAAAAAAAAAAAATCGACCAGAGCAAAACCCAAATGGATTCCCAAAGTCTCGATAACATATTGCACAAATCGACCAGAGAGCAAGCCAGAGAAAACCCAAATCGACCAGAGCAAATCAAATTACAGCCACGAATTGCCTCGTAAGAAGACGGGCTTGCCTTGCTATATGGAATTTTCCTCTTGGTTCCAAAGTTATGTTATTTTTTATAGTTGTTTTCCTTTCCGAATTTTGATTGGGATTGTGAGTTGCAGAGAAACATATCCATTAGTTGTATCGATTAGGATTTTTATGTGGATGACATGAGTTAGATAAACTCAATTCTTGGTTTACAGTAAATATACACTAGATGGAAGAGAGTAGAGGAACCAGTAGGGCTTGATTTACATGCACGTACAAGGGTGGGCAAATGCCACCACTTACTTGAAAAAAATTGCATATTAGTATAAAAAAATTTACACTTTCACCACTACAAAAATAAGTATTAACGACGCTTTTTAACATCAGTTGCATAAAAAACTATCATAAAAAAGATGGTGGCATAAGTGTAAGTAAGTATTAATTATTTAACGTCAGTTATCCTCAAAACTGACGTTAAAAAAAACATAACACGTCGATTAACATGTTAACTAATGTTGTATGTTTTATTTGAGAAAATTATTTTATTTTTTTTAAAATTTTTCATGTCGATTGTTAAGAAAACTGATGTGGTAACTTTATCCACGTCCATTCCTATAAGAACTGACGTGAAATCATTTTTTAAATTTTTTTTAAAAGAGAAAAATACATGTTTCCATGTCAGTTCCCTAACATCGGTTCCTTGGGGAACCGATGTTAATAATGCCTTTTTCACTTTCCCCTTTCACTGTCAATTTTAGATTCCCGCATATGTTCCAAAATTTTGAACTCACAGCCACGCAACTCTAAACCCACAGTTGCTCTGTCCATCCGCCCCTGGTCCATCGCCATGCATTGCCATCACAGTCCTATCTATGGAAGCCGTCGCTGTCGTCGTGCTATCCGCCTCTCTGCTCCGTTGCCAGGTCGTCGCTTCTCTCTTGGTGGGTATGTTTGAACTTTTCATTGTTTTCTTGTTCCTTCTTCCTCCTTTGCTGATTCTTGATAGTTTTTTGTAACAATTTCATCTTCCTTTCAACAATGCAATTACAAATTGCTTTCCTCTCCATCGTTGGTGTTGCGTTTTAGATTTTCCTCTCCCTTGTTCCAAATAATTTTTTTATTTATTTTTAAATTTATAACTAATTAGAAGTTGTTTTACATTTCAATTTGTCATCTTGTTGCATAATTTTTTTCATTTAAATGGTTATGAGTAGAAATTTTATTATTATCAAATGCTATGATTTTTTTTGTCTAATATTGATTAATTTTTTTATTGTTAATATTTTGGAATGTCATAATTTTAGAGGAGATTTTGCAAAAAAAAATTAATTATTAAAAATAGAAAATTGAATATGATTATTTGTGGAGTTAATTTTGTTTTGTGAATGTTAAAATTTTGAGATCATATATAATTTGTTAATTTTTTTCAAATTCAAAAAAATATAATTCAACTAAAAAAGTTTAATATACTTTAGTTTTTATTTCTTTGGAATTGTTATAAGTTTATAAATTGCTTAGAATTACTTATAATACTAGAGTCAACAGTTAAATTTTGTGTTAATTAATTAGGTAGTTAAATAATAAATTGTAGTTGGATGAATGCCAGAAGAATGAGTGAAGAATATGAGAATGGGGTGGAATATTTTTTTTGAATTTGCTAAATGGAATGTTTCAAGTAAAAATGAACTATATTTTTATCCATGTGTCAAATGTTTAAATGGGAGTTAGCTGAGTATTGATGAGATAAGAGACCATTTGCTTTGTGATGGGATAAATTTGAGGTATAGGAAATGGATATGGCATGGTGAAACTGAGGGAAGAATTTATGGAAAAAGAGGTTTATCTTTTTTTTATCTTCCATATTGGCAGCATCTTGATGTGAGACATTGTCTTGATGTAATGCATGGGGAGAAAAATGTTTGTGATAATCTTGTGGGCATATTTTTGCACATGAATGAGAAGACTAAGGATGGGTAAATGCTAGATTAGACTTGGCTGAAATAGGAATAAGAGAATGATTATTTTTCCAATGAGAAGAGGGAAAAGGGACTTATCTGCCACCCATAGCCTACACACTTTCAAAAAGGAGAAAGCAAGTTTTTGTGGCTGTTTACATAATACTAAAGCTTCCTAAGGATATTCTTCGAACGTGAAAAATTTTGTGTCAATGAATGATTTAAAGCTAATGGGCTTGAAGTCTAATGATTATCATGTATTGATGCAATCGTTGTTACCACTTGCTATTCGAGGCATATTGAAAGATTATATACGGCAAACAATTATAAGGTTGTGTAGTTTCTTCAATTCTATTTGCAGCAAAATCATTAACCCTAATAAGTTAGATGAATTAGAAAATGAAGGCTATATCATTTTGTGCCAACTCAATATGTACTTCCCTCTAGCTTTTTCTGATAATTCGGAGCCCTATATTGAAGAAGAGATTGATGGTATTTGAGATATTTTAGTTTAACAACTTCTTTAAAAATACTTTTCACATTGTTGAGAGTAAACAAAATTTTATAGTCTTTTAGTAGTAGAAAAATATGTACAATAGTTGTAAATAGTATATTAAGTATAGTTGTAACATGTATAGTCATTGTAATATTGCTGGCTAGTTGTTTATACTTGTCACACAATTTATATAATTTGTAGGTTTAAAGTTTTGGATTCAAAAAATTAAAAGTATATTTAAAAAAAAACTTTTCACAACGGTTATTAAAAAAGTCATTGCAAAGACATTCTTTAACAACAGTTCTCTCAAAAACCATTATGAGAAGTCTCATTTCATATCGGTTTTTTGTTAACAACCATTGTGAAAAGTCTCCTTTCACAACGGTTTTTTAGATAACCATTGTGAAAAGCTTTTTTACAATGATTTCCCAAATAACCATTGTGAAATTTGAAAAAAAAAAAGATTGTTGGTTAATAATATTTAACGTTAGTTATGTACTACAACTGACGTAAAAAGATATCTTTTAATGTCGGTTGAGCAACAGACATTAAAAGAAACTTTTTCACTACCTTTTTTTTTTGCTTTTACTTAATAACCGACGTAAAAAGTCAAAAATAATCATTGCTAAAAGTCCTTCCTGCAATAATGTTTGTCCCCATAAAATTTAGAATTTTGAACACACTAAAATATTAATCTTCCTCACTTGAAAAATATAATGTTTCATTGTAGTACTAAAATTTAAATATATTTCTCTATTTTGAATAGAGGAGTGCTAATAAGTTAATCAATTTCATTTAACTTAATGTTAAAGTTAAACATATTGTATTTAAATAATAAATTTTCAATTTTTTATATTTTTTTAAAATGCACCCATAACAAAAGGTCCTCAGTCTATCACTGAGAGTATCTACTTTCATTGTTTTTAACTCACACATAGAGTTAAGAATAAGAGCTAGGTTATATGAAGTGGCCTAGATAGCCATCATAAGGGTTGGGTCGGGTTGGAAAAAATGTGACCCAAATAAAAACAATTTTTTTAGCCCAAACCATATAACCTATAAATTATATGAGTTAACCCTAATATGTTAGGATTAACTCGTTTAACCTATATTATATTAAAAAATAAAAAAGGAAAAAAGAGGAAAATTTTGTCACCAAAGAGGGATATCAACCATATGAGGTATGCTTATGTAATGTCTACCTTGATATTACTAGAACAACACTCTAACAATACTATTATAATAATCAGGATTAATTAAATTTTTTATATAAAGTTATCATAACATAAGGGTTTTAAAAAATTTAGTTTAAAATATTGTGATCCCTAGAAGCCCTTTTTAAAAAAAGATGTTTGAGCTCAAACTATAATTTAAAATAAATTAAACAATGTAGTGAAAGCATAAAAATCAAACATAATCCTTAAAAGCAACAATGGAACATTCTGAAAAAATCTAAAAAAAAAGTTCTGTCTACCACAGTGGATGTCACAAAGGGACTACATTCTACATTCCTCTTTACGCAATGTGCCATGGCGTACCTACCTTGCATCGCAACACACTCCTACTACCATGACAGTTTCTCCGGCCAACTTTCAGAGTCCGTCATTTCACCATTCGACCTTCGATTTGAGCAAATCAAGCTTTTGCATATAGCTCTTTAAGCTACTTAATTATTGGCACTGGTTACATGCCTATGCACTTTACCATTTAAAAGTTGAACACCTAGACTCAAATTGGTCCGTTCTCCTTTCAAAACAACCATAAGGGTGTCCAAACCCACAAACCTAGTACTAATAGCTTTGAAACCACTTGAACTAATTCAAATGGACCACAAACAA